ATTTCACTGTCAGGATTTTATTTCGCACCAACTGTCTAAATACTTAAGCTACCTGATTTTTTTAATCATGACTAATTTCTTTGCGTATTTCTATATCTGGCTATGCGATCACCCAATTTCACCTTTGTTTTATCTGCCTCATACTTATTCTTGGGAATCATTCAATTAGTACTATCATTGCTACAGCCTTAAATCCATGATAAAGCCGTTCCAATACTCCTCACTTGTGGCTTAGATTTAGTTCATCTATAAAATGGGTATAACTTATCTACCTCTCAGGAGACAGAAAGCAGAGTACCTTTTTAGTTCCAAGGTGTATTCCTTCACTTGAAGTTAACAGTGTGTCTAGTGTGTGGGCTATGCCAGAAAATGAATCTACAGAGAGTATTTATGAAGTGGTCATTACTCATAGCTGCAATACAAATGTGTTCAGTGCAAGGTCTGGGGGTGGATTGAAGGGGAGTGGGGTCCAACCCAAATGTGTCAGATGTGCATTGAATTCACATTTATGGTTCTGTTCTGAGAGATATCAGTAATACATATGACCATTTTATTTGTAGTAGTGATCTTTCTGTAACTTAAATATGTAAAATCAGCATGGTTCTTCCGTGTTATGTGATCATATATATGCAAGCCAGTGCCATTCCCCAAAACCACGATGGCGTTCCATTTTAAAACACTGAATTTCCAAGGCTTTTTGGTCCAAATGTTACATGTAAACCCACTTAGCCATTTTTAAAAAAAATTCAATTATCTTAACAGTTTTGACAGTGATAACAAGAACTCCAGAGTATAATCTTGTTCTCATCTTGTAGGCTGAAGTTGTATATAGCCCTAATCTTTTGGGGTGAGATTTAAGGACACAGTTTGGGGGTAGATTTTTGTTTTGTACTTTTTGGGGGGACAGTTGTGGAGGTTTGTTGCATTATGAGTTAAGTGCCTCAAAATGGGTGGGACTTTTGAGGTATTCTTTTCTGCTCTTTCAATAGTGTGGAAGTGATAGGTAAGGAGCTACAGGATATACCTATTTGAGACAGACTGAGCCACCATTCCTGTGCTCGCACTTGGCTGTTGGGAAGGGTCTTTTGGTGCCCCAAAAGTTTAGTCCAATTTATTGCAAAAATGGGAAGGGTGTGTGCTCCTTTGTGCTTTTGCTTTTTACTCCTCTCAACCTGGGCTGCAGGCCTGGCTGGCTGCCTTACTGTCTTATGACAGGAATTCTTGAGTTATGTAATGTGACTGGTGATAGTGTTTGGATTTGGGCTTAAGAAAAATCTTCCTTAGGCCTCTGATCTAAACTCCTTGCATTGAGGAGGTGGGGGGAAGGGTCACCAGAGAGGTAAGTTTTGGGCATACAAGGAAACACTAAAGGTTGTTTTCTATTGTCATTGGCTCATTTATGTATGTCCCTCAGAAATTTCATAGTACTGATAGCTAGGCCAAAGTCAGATTTCAGCGATTTTGACAGAGTTCTCTTTCTACATATCAACTTAATATAAAAATTAACACTGATTTCTAACATGACCAATAAATATTTTAAAGGACATGGTCAGTCTTTTTAACTTGAAAACCAGAGGGAAAGATCTGCATCATTGATTGACAATTCAAAATTAACATTCAAAATATTATAAACTTGAAAATGGTGTGAATCATTGATCTTTAAAGGGTGTTGGGGGTTCCCCTTCCCCCTCATTATGAGGGACTTCTATGATGAGAAGTATTGCTTATGAAAAATATTTTGTATGTGAATGGTATAAAGATATAAAAATATTTGAGAAGCACCACACTGGAGAAAGATCACTAAGACTGAAATTTATAAATTAGACAAGTTCTGGGATGGAAGGGTTCTGATTGATGTTAATTGTCTAGATATCTCTACTGCCATTAGACTAGACCACCAGTCTTCAAACTTTTTCTGTAAAGGACCAGATAAAAAATACTTTAATATTTTCAGGCCACAAATGGTCTCTGTAGCATAGTGTTCTTTGTTTTTGGAACTTTAAATATGTAAAAACCATTCTTAACTCACAGCCCATACAAAGGCAGGTTGTAGTCCAAATCCATGGGTTCTAGTTTGTGCACCCCTTTGCCAGAACTTAGAACATAGTACAGTTGACCCTTGAACTGCGCTGGTCACTTATACTTGGATATTTTCAATTCACCCATGCAATTCAAACCCACATTGTTCAAAGGTCAACTGGCAATTGGGAATACACATTAGTGGAGGGCTACCTTAAATTATAAGCAGATTTTCAACTGCATGCGCCATGGGTCCCCAAACCCCCGAGTTGTTTAAGGATCAACTGTAGTTAATAACTTAAAGAAATGATCCTTATGAGGGTAGTTAACTATCATTACCATTGAACAAATTCAACTGCAGATTCTAGGAAACAAAAAATAAACTAAAAGAAAATGAAAGACAATTTTAAAACTTTGAACAGAAATTAATGAATTACAAAACACCTTAAAAACCTATGTTCGATTTTAAGACCAAGGGTTGATTCTTTGAATATCCAAAAGAATAGACAAACTCTCGCTAACTGATAAAAGGGGAAAAGAGATAAATGTGTGTATGTAGATATAGATACATAGTGTGGGAAGGGAGATAGAACTCTAATGCACACATTTACAGCAATTAATTACAGGTAACAAAATGAGAATGCCAGTAAAGTATCTACCACTAAACAGGGCACAAGGCTCAAGTGGCTTTTCCATCTAACTTTTATTAAGCACATGATTACTACATTAATTAAACTATTTTAGAGCAATAGTTTAATGGAAAAAAAATGGAACCTTTTCCACTTTATTTTCAAGTTTAGTATAACTCTCATGCCAAAATCTGATAGAGCCCCCCAAAAAGGTAAACCAATTTTATTGATTAGTATAGATAGAAAAGTTCTAAATAGGATGCTAGCAAATTGGATCCAGATAAGTTTTCAATGATTAATACACTACGATGGAGGGCAGTTTTCCCAGGAATGCAGTACAGTGCTGTGCTGGAGCTCGCTAGTGCTAGCTTGTGAGAGCCAATTGTGCTCATGTGTTCCAAATTCTGCATTCAGTGATATTACACCAGCAGCTTGGAACCTGGTATGATGGGATTATTTACATCATAGAAATCAGCAAATGCTCCAAA